GGAATTTTTGCGTATGATCGAGCAAAACTTATGTATGAAATTTTAAGTAAATCGGTTGAATACTTTCTTCAAAATGGTGAAAGATGTAAAATCGGCCCGCAAATCCGTTTTCGAGCCCTGATCTTTCCAAAAAATTTATATGTTCATTGTTTTAATACGAAGAGTTCATATATTAAATTTCAATGAAATCGGTTGATTATTTCTCTTTATATACACAAAAATGTATATTTGGCCCGTAATAAACGTCTAGTTGCCGATGCCTGATTTCTTCCAAAACATACGAATTTTTGCGGACGGTCGAGCTGAGCTTATATATAAAATTTCAAGTAAATCGGTTGAATATTTTCTTCAAAATGTTCAAAAATGTAAAACAGGCCCGCTAAAGAGTGCAGTTCCCGAGGCCTGATTTATACCAAAAGTTGATCAATCCGTGCCATGGTGGAAACAAACTTACATAAAAAATTTCATCAGAATCGATTCAGCCGAACTTGAGATACACGCGTGCACACACAGACCGAAAGACCGACAGACGGACAAACCGACAGACCGACAGACCGACAGACCGACAGGTTACTAAAAATAGTTTATTTACACTTCCCTACTATGGAGAAGTACGTTCCCACCGAAAACTCGATATGCAAAATTTGTTGCCATCACATAACCTACAATTATCATTGAAAACACTTTTTGGAAGTTTGCTATAAGTGCCCAGAGGTTGGAAGATTTATTTGATTTTGTTGGGGTATCAAACATTTAAAATAACATGTAAATGGAAACTTAAATTTATTAAATCATTTCCTAATAGAATTCAACAGGTTATAGACGCCAACGGGGCATACATTTTATTAGATTTTACAAATTCATAATTTAAAACTTGAATTTAATTAAAATATTGAATTTATTTTTCTTTCTTGCCTTATAATTATTTTTTTTTGTTAATGCACAAATTTTTGAGACCAAAGGGAACGCAGAAATGGTTTTGAGTTTTTGTTTTTGCTTGAATTTTAAATATTATAAATGAATTACTTTTGCCTAATTGTTATGTTTCTTGTTTTACTATTAATTTAATTTATTATTAAACTAATTTCCTATTAATTTTATTACACATTTATTAATGAATTGGGTTCGATTTTAAAATTTATTTTTTTTTCCAAATATTTAGTAAACCAACCACAATTAAATTTTTTTTTTATTTTTTTTTTTTTTACCGAGACGAAGGGTGAAAAACCTCGAAAGACACTACCAGACGAAAAGCAGTAGTGTGGAACTTTAATCCACTAAAAAACACCCTCATTATAAAACTAGTCGGAAACGACTAACAATTAATTTTGGTTAAACCTTTTTGATTATTTACAAGCTTTTGATCTAGTAGAATAGCGTACTAAGTACTCCCAACAAAGTTTTGATTATCAACCAATCGAGTCGCCTCGATGTTGACATGATTGGATAAACGCATTTTATGATTGGCTACTTGCTTTTTAATTTCGTCTGTGATGCTTACGATCGTGAGATCCCTGTGTATATCGACATTACGGACATACCAGGGAGCGTTTACAATGTAATACCCTATTTTGAAATCTTTGAATAGATTGAATAAAGGTCTACGCAGCACAGCCCCATAACTGAATACCCTAATAGTCAGGTAAGATTCTAGCAGGTTAACATACTGCCTTGGTAGTAATTGCCTAAGTTTTTTTATTAATCTACAATGCCAAACCTTATCGAAGGCCTGTGCTTCATCCAAATATATGATAGAACATATTAATGTCTCTTCCAACGAATTTTTTATTAGGTCAGTTATTCTATGAATCTGATCTATGGTTGAGTGGTTCCAGCGAAAACCAAATTGATGATTCGGGATTAACCTTTTACTTTCAATTATATGCTGAAATCTTCTAAATAAAAGTTTCTCTAGCAATTTTGAAATCATCGGCAACAATGAGATTGGTCTATAAGAAGGCGGGCTGTCTATAGGTTTCCCAGGTTTGTGCAGCATGATTATCTCTGCAACTTTCCAAATGTCAGCCACGTAATTAAACCTTATACACGCATTTATTAGGCGCGTAAGCATCGTTATACTCCTTTTGGGTAATATTTTTGAGAATATCGGCCGTTATTAGGACAAATCCCAAAGCCTTTTTAGGTTTAAGAGTCCTGATTTCTTCTATAACATCTCTTTCCTTGATAATTGGTTTTGTCAGTACAATCACGCGCTTGCTGCCACTTCTTTCTCGCCCACCTGCTTTGCCTAACTTTTGCTAGTATATATGGGGGATAGTTGATGCCACCCCTTACAATAGTGTTAATTTTCGAACTACTCCAAGCCGCATTTTGAAGAATTTTAGCAAAATTTTCGGCCTCCTCATCTATGTGCTGGGTCGTTCTTATTATTTTCCTTAGATCTATTCGTCGTTCATTCTCTAAACGAAATCTTGACCAATTCGTAGCACCATTTGTCAGCGCAGGTCTCGCTTTTTTCGTTTTAACATTTTCCTTAAGTTTAAAAATAACCACCTTAGCTACAAGGCATACCCTGTAGTTTGCTAGGTGAACCTCCAAACAATTGGAACACTTTGCTGCAGTACCCTTTGGCTTACTACAATTTGCGGTTAAGTGCCTGCCTAGTTTTTGTGTATGCCCATACCTTTGACACTTTTTACACTGCGTGATGGTTAGAGTGTAAGTCTTCTTTTATATCTTCCGGTTTACAGCAGGGGTGAAGATTTCTTACCATGACTTTTATTGGTCTGGCGTGCTTGTTTTCGTAGGTTTTCGATTCCTGTAATTCATTTCGAAATTTATATAGAGCTTAAATTGATTGTTATTCATCATTTTAACCTTATAATAGATTTCCTTGTTTTTTAATGTTGACTCTATTTGATTATAGTGAACAACATTACTTATGACTACTGGAGGCGGCCTAGAGTTTTTCATGACATCGCCTTGATTTTTTGAATCAAGAACATCCGCTTTCTCAGCGTTGATCGTCACCTGGACCACTTGGGGTGATGATTTCGGTTTTTTTTTTACTAGACCTCTTTCGTTTTAGGATCTAATCTGTTTTTCTCACGAGTTCTTCTTCATCTGTTGAGTAGACGTCTAAGATTGATCTCACCTGCTTTGGTTGTGGTGTTACGTCCTTTTTTTTTTGTGACTACTATCACTTACCTTCTCAGTCTCAATCCTCAGTTGAAGAACCCCGTTATTCCAAGCCACACAGAGCTGTTCTAGTTGGCTAATCCGCTTATGTATGTCATCATTCTGATCATCACCTTGTTTCGCTTGAGCTTTACTCATGTTGATATCCTTCTTGGTTTGTGGAGCTTGAGTGTTCGGTAGTTCACCAAACATAACTTTGTTGTTTTCCAAAATCCGTACATCAGATGTAGGTGGCGAACGCCAGGTTTTCGCGTTCCTCCTGAACCTATCAATCAATTACAATAAATGGCTCTCCTAAGAATTCGTAGAGCCGACCTCCGAAGAGGGTGCATTCTCCAACTTAATTAGACTACCACCCGAGGTACTAAATCCTTTTGCTTTCTCCATTGCACAAATGATTCATGTTTGCATTTTTAACCTCCTGCCAGGATTCAAAAACTGCCGTCCCTTAGGGATCAGGCGTAGAGCAGGGAGCCGTCTTTATTAGACGCTTTTATATCTATGTCAGACGCTTCTGAATTTACCGCCCGGCCGCTTCCTAACCAACGAAACGCGGCTTAAGCACCGAGTACTCGCTTTCACCCGCTCTCCTCAGCCTTACTAAATATGTGTATTCCTATGAGACACCCGGCAGATAACTATGTTACCTACCTTATGGAAGATGAGAGTCGGATTTGTTGGCACAGCTGATGTTTTCAGAGGGCTTTTCCCAACATTTAAAGCTTCACATGTTAGGAAAAAGTGAAACTATTTAGGACCCATGCCAATCCTTGTCACCCACGATTAAATTTAAATGGTAACCCAAAACACAAAGTATCAACCCAAAACACAACGAAATTCCTAGGTATGTCTTTGGATGTCATGCTCAGATGGAAAGGAAATGTGAAGAAAATCTTTGCCTTTCGATGACTTTTCAATGATTTTCAATGATCTGTATTCGAAAAAAATTGGTTTTTGAACAAATCATTTTCGAAAACATTTATGTACCTACTGCTGGTTAATCCGGTAAATTATATATGTAATTTATAAAATATTTAAATTGGGATTTAAAAATTTTAGACTTAAAATTTTCAAACGTATTACATTCTATCTATTAAATATTTAATATCTATTTTATATCCTTTCTAATATCTTCTTAGAAGAAAATATAACTGTATATCAAACGAAATAATTACACCTTTACGAAATTAAACTCCTCGTTCTCTTAGTTTCTTCTTAGTTCGAAGCAAATTTCATCATACTTGCTACGACTATTCAAATTTTATAACGATGTTAATTTTTAGACATTACCAAATCTCTACTCTTAAGACTTTTATAATTAAATAAATATAAATAAAGTTGCAGAAATTTCTTTGATATATTCATCTATCGTTCTTTGAAACATATATAAAAAGAACATTTTGTAATATTGTGAAGGCTCCCAAAGTTATACTTCTTATAATTCCAGCATTTGTGCTCAGCCAAATTTTTTTTTTCGCTACAATACACGCATAATTAAAATCTTAATAAATAATCTTTATTGATTTTCAATATAGACTTTTAAAAGACGTTGTAAAAATTACGTTGTACATACTATAATTAATTTGTTCAGTAATATTTTTTATTATTTTGTATGAATATAAAATAAAATCTCGTTAAAAAAAATATGAATTTAAAATATAATACACAATTTAGCCAAAATTTCTTCTTGTATGTAAAATAACTTATGCATTAAAATGATAATTTCTGAGGAAATGCTGATTTGGCATTCTAATTTAATATAATGTCAAAAAACAACTTTCATAAATGATATGCTCTAGTTATACTCTAATTGTGAAATTATTTCAA